ATATATATATATATATATACATCTCCCCTACTATATAGACACCTTTCTTTACGCCTAGACGACATCATTACAATGCACAGGAAGATCCTAATTCGATTTGATACAACTGCCTTTGAACAACCCTTTATTATCGCCTACAGATATATATACATGCATATATGAATTCATAAGTAAGCGCTAACGTTTATTAAACAACCCGCGGACAATATCTGCCTTCATAACAGAACGAGTCCATTAATTATTCATGGCGGTAAGACCATAGAAATAAAATACGTGTCTCTATATATTTCTATGGGTAAGACGCGCACTGACGAACACCCACGCCCTCTGTCGTCGGCCACCATGCACCTCTATTATTATGCGCTCGATAGCTCACGCAAACCTGGGCTTTATAATCATTGTCAACGACTCCGGGTGCACACATGTGTAGCAACACCTTCACGCGCGTTGCCTCTAATTAAATCTAATTGCGTCATTATGTCAAGTAGTTGGCATGTCCGCTTGCGCGTACACACACCGTTCACTCTCATTTTCCACCCGATCGCGAGTGAAATGGCGAACGTATAGCCTGGCATAATTTTTCGGCGGGAACGACAGACACTCTTTATTTGAAATTATCCGTAATATCAATGGCCGACTAACGTTACACTATAATTGCGCCGTGCGGGACGCACACTTATTTATTGATGACGGTCTTTACAATCATTATTATATCGCAACCTTATAATAAAGTCACGTGATAGCCCGTGTTTCGTCTTCGAAAAAAAAGAGGCTGCTGCATTAATGACGTGCCAAAAATGATACGAAACACAATAAATTTCCGTAAATCAGTAGGTAATGACAATGAACTCTGCTGAATAGAACTTTTTTCGCAAACGTCGCATGAGCATTATTTGCGCATTTTGAATAGCTGTAATACATCTCATATTAGCATCGCATACGTGAATCATGTCCATGACTCCATATACATTATTATGCTATATATACATGAATAATATAACGTACATTATCATCCCATATACGCGATGATCGGCAAATTATGACTGCCATATTATCATTGGCTCTAGGAGCTAAGAGATTTACAAGCGTATGTTTTGCCAATAAATGCACACGAAATCGACTTGTGATATTATTCCATACGTGAACCATTATATGCTATATACATTCCATGCTATAAATTATATGCTATACATTATTATTAACCTATACGTGAAGATGATACTGCAGTAAAAACAACAATGGTCGTGAATTGACGGCTCTGGCCTTCTCTCTCGATGCTCGCATTACGGGCATGCTAGCACCTGCAGCATGCTCACCCACGTGCAACATTACGACGACGCGACTACGTAACACGATGAAAGCACCAACCCTCTCCTCCGCAAAGAGAAAGTAAAATTATGATTCACCGCAGAGAGAAAGTAACATTAATAAACACCCCCACCCACCAATATGCGCGCATTATATGTTATATACATTTCATGCTATAAATTGTGCGTGAGCGTGCGTGTGTGTGCGCGCGCGCGCGCGTGTGTGTGTGTGTGTGTGCGTGTGCGTGCGTGTGCGTGTGCGTGTGCGTGCGCGTGCGCGTGTGTATGTGTGTGTGTGCGTGTGTATGTGTGTGTGTGTGTGTGTGTGTGCGTGTGCGTGCGTGTGCGTGTGCGTGTGCG